AAAGTAAATTTTATATTACAAATAGCAGTTTGTAATTATTAAATAAACAAATTATTTTTTTATATTACAATAAATATATAAATATCTATTAAATTTTTTTATTTTGTTATAAAATGTTCTATATTTAGAGAAAAATTTTTTTAATTTAATTAACTTGTTATTTCTATATAATTTAAAATATTTGAAAAAACTATAAATCTATTAACAAATTATTTTTCATTATATTATTATTATATTGGGAGTGTTGCCAGTAAAAATCACATTATAGATCATATGATTTATTATATTTCATGACTTGATTTTTACTGGCAACATTTCCGATATGGACCAAATTTTTTATTTTCAATAGCATTTGCTTTATCATATTTTGAAAATAATATGATGATGATGTAAGTTTCCTACAGATCGTCATACTTGATATAAGAATGCATTTTTCGATAAGTATTTTTAGAAAATTTGAGAATATCAAAAAAAAAAAATATTTTTTTATACAATTAAAAAAAAGATTATTTTCAATTATCAAACATTACAACCTTGTGAAAAAGGTATCTTAATTCAAAATTTAATAATTACTCGAAAATGAAATTCCAAATACCTCCACAAAATGTTGTTGCTAAAGCTGACATTAATTTATAAATCAGTATTATGTTTAAATAATATAAACGTTTTTTTTAAGTCATTGATATTATTAATGGTTCGTGATTTTATAGTTACGTCAAATACTTCTAAATAGTAAAATGTTAAAAAGGATAAAATTGAAACTCTAGGTCGCAGCTAAAGGGAAAATTGATAGTGCGTGTATGAAATTTAGTTGATCAAACATGAACATATTAGAATTTGAGTTTCAATATTCCGTTGTAGATTTATACCGCACTGTAGTCATCAATATTACACGTACTGAACTTATAGATTGAAATAACTAAAGTATTATTTTCCACACAAATATATGTCTCATAGTTTTTCTTCATAAAATTAATAATGTGACAAATACTTCAAAATGACATTATATCTTATTCTTATTAGGGATCGAATTAATCAAAGATCAATAATTAAATTAATTAAATTTGAGAAATCCAATTCAAATTATAACTGCACAATGACGCAAATGTTATTTTTTTTGAGGATAGTCATATGATGGCGATGCATGATGATGTTGAAAAGATATTAAGTTATTTTCTTTAAAGATATTTCTACAAAATAATATTATATTATCGCACAGCCCTATATGATTATGCTGAGCTTGTTTGACCAATAATTTTTTATATTATATTTAGCATCAATAGCTATTTATCGTACTTATATGCATTCAATATTGAATTTCAAAGATAATTCTAATACAATAATACCAACTTTTTTTATATATTAATTTCTAACCTTACTTAAATTTAACTATAAAAATGCACAATACATTAATTACTAAGATTTATAATTAGTATTTGAAAAAAAAAGAGATAGCATAAGCTTTAATATAAAAACTTATCATAACAGTTTGCGTTATATAAGACTATACTTTTTTTTATAAATGATATTATTTCGAATGGCATATTTGTTTGAGAAAATGTTAAAGATTAATAGAAATTAAGGAATAAGAATTGATTAAAAGTTTAGGATTCGATAATTTTTTTTTTTTGATAAAGCATGATCTTGTGAGCCGTAAGGTAATATATTAACGTCACTTAAACGTTAACCAATATAAATAATACACCATACATTATAAAATCTAAATTAGTTTTTATTTTGCGGTTTCAAAAAGAATTCCTTTATTTTTACTCATATAATGTTTAAAGTAAACTGATTTTTAAAATTTCAACTATTTCGCTTCTTAGTATCGCTTTCTTCATAAACTATTGTGCTTAAATGAACAAGTAATTTGAAATCTCAGTGTCAAATTTTATAAATTTTTAATGATAAACGCGATATGTGCGATAATATTTTATTTAATAAAATACCTTAAGCTAATGAAAATGGTTTATTTGTACTAAGATAATTAGGAAACTGGTTCAATCATTTATTAGATTTGAACACATTATATCCTTTTGCGCGACGATTACCTTCCTTTTTGTTCATAAATATAAACTAAACGTATTATATAATGAAGTTTATGAATAATTGTGTAAAGTTCATTAAAAATCATTCGATAAGACCTTTTTTACGTTTTTTTGGAGTTGGAATTTTTAGAAATAATTATAATTCTGATATAAGAACTTTGGAACAAAGATTTAACATGTACTCCTATAAAACTGGAAATTTGTTTAAAAATGAACCTTTTTCTTAGATTTCTGAAGTCTCTTTTCACAAGGTACAAAATATTCAATATTGCATCACAATTGGCTTATTGATTGTTATGCCTTTACAATACAAAGTTTTTTTTCAAGGTTAGCTTAGAAAATTTCCATATTAAGGTATAATTAGAAATTTTTTTTAATAAGTATTTTGTTTAATGATTGCGGAGAAGTTTGATAGTGATGTTTAAAATGGTACTGTACATGATCACAGATGCTTGGTATAGGCGCACTAATAATCATTAAGGTTGATGGTAAAAATTATCATGGGTCATGGTGAGTAGCTGATCAAAATTAACTCTGTAAGTATTCCTTGAAAAGATTAAAAAAGCATTCAATTAAAGGTTATTTATTTTGTTATCTCAATTTTTTGACGCAGTTTGTTTTGTAAAGGTAAGAGGTCGGTAGTGTTAAGTTTAACCGGTTATTTTAACGTTTAAAGAAATCAACCTGTTAAAAAGCTGATGTTAATTCCTACCGGCATTAATTTTCGGCCAAAAATTAAAGATTTTATTATTATAAATAATTTCTATAGCTCAGCCAAATTTACAAGTTATATTTTAACCAGTCAAATATTTCAACATTTAATGTCAACAATTTTCTAGCAAAATTCCTTACACGTTTATGGAAGCCAATGAAATTGCTCATAGTAAGAAGGTTTCAAGGAATATATAAATCTCTTGTTCTGATGTAATAACAATTCAATAAATAAATAGTTCGCCAGTTTTAAAATATTTAACATATTTCGCACTGGCAATTTCACTCAACCGCTTTTTTTTACGATTTTACAACCCCTTTATAGTTGTACTGTACATATTTCCTCAAATAGTAGAACTTTTCATTTACTTATTTTAAAATTATATTATTTACACTCCGATACACGTGTTTAAAATAAAACAAATTTTATTAAAATATTTATATAAATAATAATAATAACGTGTTATTCTAAGACGTTGATTGCTGTATCAACGCTTAAACTTTATCTTCTACTGTCTTCTCACTTTCTACTTTATTTGAACAAAATAAAATTTGTTTTACCTTTTCCTCCTCACTTAATTCATTCGTAGATTTGTTTTTTCAACTTTTTTGTTTAATAGTGATTCGTGAAACACAATAATTTTCATTTTTGTACTTTATATCCTCCAATAAATTGATTTCTTGCGATGTTTCTTGTGTTGATTTCGGTGAAGTTAAATCCGACAAAATTAAATTGATTTTTTGCGATGTTTCTTGTAGTGATTTTGAAGTTAAACCCGACAAACGCAGGCTTTTAAAGAGAATATAATATAAAACTTTGTTTTTTTTTACAACCAGTTTCTCGTCAATCCTAAATTCCTGATATGATAAAAAATCATACAGTATATCAAACCAAATGTCCCAATAATAAAAAGAATGCCATCCAAATAAAAGTTGTGTAAAGCTCATTTAAATAAAGTCAAGAATAATAACAGCAATAAAAATAATAGAACCGATGAACGCCAACGATTCTTCATTGATTTTATTTTCATATTCCGTGATCTAATTACATTTCTCAATTGTTTCGGGTATTCATTCTTTGGACCATGGTTAACAACAAATCCAACTAATTCTTTACCAATATCTGGATATATGATTTCCTTTGGACGATTTGAAAAAGTTTCAGATATATTTTTCATACTTGCCAAAATACTATCAAAAGTACCAACTTCAGCTATGGAATTCTTTACAATACTTAAAACTTTGAAACTTGTATAAAGTGCATTTATAATAAAAAACGCTACTCCAAGTATAATAGTAAAAGAATACAAAGTAGCATATATAATTATAATTCGTTTCACGTTGTCCTTATAATTATATTTATTCTCCAAGGCTTTCTTCAATCTTTCCAAAATTAATTTGTGTTTGTGTTCATTCGCCCTCGGTTTGCGAAGTTTTTGTCATAGTTGTTTTTTTTTTCTTTTTTTTTTTTTCCTCCATTTCAACCAAAATATGAAATTTGTAATGATTTATTATAACAATTAGTAATTTTTAAAAGACATACTATTTTTGTAATGATTCAACTGCCATACCCGTATTGCCAATAAATATCAAAAAAAAAAAATATAATAAAAATGCATAACATTTTTGGGTGTTCAACAACAACAACTTTCCCAATTAGCAATTTTTAAAAGTCCATCTTTTTTTTTAAATGGTGAAATTGAATGAGTCCAATTTAATACACCAAAATAAATCTATTTTGTGCATCGTCATTTCCCATCCAAATTAGTAGTTTTTAAAAGATGATAAGATGTCATAAAGCATAATTTCTCCAAAATTTAATGAAATCATGTTACGAAAATAAATCACAGATAATAAAAACTCATATGAATAGCTTAATCTTCAATAATTCAAATCCTAGACTTATGCAATAACTCCGCGGTAAAATTCATTATATCTAACGAAAATGGAAGTGAAAAATATTATGAAGCATAATGTCTCCAAACTTAATGACCTCTTGCATTAAAACTTTTTTAAAGATACCTTTTGTAATAAAAGCTCAAAAGAATAGCTTTTCTCATATTAACCTTGCATATCAGCAAATTTTCAACATAGAATTATACAAAAATGATCGTACATAATATAGTGTTGCACGCAGTTCGAAACGTTTATAGTTATAAACAATAGAAAAGGTAAGCAGAAGGTTTATTTATTTAAGTGTCTTTATTAATAACAAATGGAAAACCTAACATAAATAAGGTATTGCCTCAATCTTCGGCACTCTATACGATCAGATACGTAATTTATTATACACTTTCGTTATTCGTTACAAATAAAAGGAAAGGGATATATGCTAATGTTATCTATCGTTTATAGCTAGGTATGGTAAATTTAATATTACTAAATTAAACTAATTATCTATTACAAAAATTGCAAATAATAACAAACTAATATTTAAAACCTTTCTTGCGTTCAAAGCAAACTTGCAGAGAAGACAAAAACTATCTATGATGATTAATTTAAGCAAAATAATCATACAAAAACTTTATTGACTAGACAGTTGATTTTCTTATTTCAGTTATTGTAGGAAAATGTGCTAAAAATTTGAACGAAAAGGTACTAGGATTACTTCACCATGTACAGTCCAGAAATTGTAGTGCTATTATGACACAAAATTGCATAAAACCGTATAGATATTTTCATAGGGAAGCCACAAGCTCTTTGAAGAACTCGCGCCTGTAAATCAAATTTATCAAATGAAAATTATCAAGTAAAGACTATTAATTTCCTGTCAAAATATTATGTCATACGCTATCTTTTTTAAATCTTGATATATTATCATTTAAAAATGATATACACTGCCTCAATGAAATCATTCCATAAAGAAATATTCATGTTAATGCTTTACTGTGTTCCTTTAGACCAATAAAGTTGATAAGACAAAGCCATGTAAAAGTGCACACAATGTAACACACGAAGGACAAAGCTTTATTAGCAAATTTATTAATTTAAACAGTAACTCACCAATATATTATCAATCACATCATAAACGAAAATGAAGCAGGTGTTCAATAAAATAAAATAATAATAAAGCCAAATGATCGAGAATTGTAAATATTTATTTTTAAAATTTCTGTAACATGCTGTGTAAAGCCATTTTTGTTTAGTAGGTTTGTTTTTTATAAAGTAAGTTTTGTAAAACGATTATTACCCGCTGTTCAAAAAAAAAAAAAAAAAAAATAATATAACAGGTCAGGTAATTAATTTAAAAGTAGATTATTTGTAAAAACGATTACGAGTTGAGCGAATGTCGATCACTTTTTAAGACAAATAGATTTCAAGCTTATTCGGAAATGCTTCTAGGGAAAGTATATCATAGTCATTACTGCGTTCTACCAAAGTATAAGGTCTAATGGTGAGACAAAAAAAATGAGAATTAAAAACCGGTCAACAACATTCAATTATTATAGTAAATCACGTGAAATTTTTTTATTTAAAGTCAAAGACCAGATAACTTTATTAAAAAAAATTAATATGGTATACGTTCACCATTTTTTTTTAATAATTAATTCGCAACGTCATTTCATTGAATTTGAAAGATTAATTAGAACAGTTTCTAGAATATTTTGCCATTCCTCCACCATAAAATGTTCCAGATGCTTCTTTATCTTACTTTTTATAATTGTAAATAAATTTTTAATAGGGTTTAAATGGGGCTATTCGATGGCCAATCTAAGACTACTGGAAGTTTTCTTGGAGGAAAGC